ATCCACTCGCGTCGACCCGAGACTTTGAAGATTGACATCTCCAAGTATAGGGGGGTCGAAGAAGACTCCCTCTTGAGATGGTTCGTCGAATTAGACGACGCCATAAGGGCGCGTCGCATCGACGACGGGGATATGCAAGTTGCATTTGCCCAGTCAAATCTGGCAGGACGTGCCAAGACTTGGGCACTGGGGCTCAAGCTGCACGACCCATATGCGTTTGGGTCGTTGGAAGTCTTCAAGTCGCGGCTCAGACAAACGTTTGAACCGCCTAGAGCTGAGTTCAGAGCTCGAACCGAACTCTTGAAGCTCAAGCAGGGTAAGCGTGATGTGCACGCTTACGCTCAACATATACGACATCTCACGAGTTGTATAAGTTCCAATCCGGTGGATGAACACACGTTGGTTTCGGTGTTCATGCAGGGTCTTGCGGATGGTCCCGTCAAGACTCACCTGTTCCGGCTTGAACTAGATTCACTAGAACAAGCCATTTCATTGCGGAACAGGAAGACTTCAGTCTGAGACAGGCTCGCGCCAGCTCGACATCATATCGTCAACCGAGACGATATGACAACGGAGGCCGATGGAACTCTGTTATGTAGAGAGCGAGAAGGCTCGCTCTACAGACTACAAGAAGTTGCAGAGATGCAACAGATGTCAAAAGACAGGACACTACGCTTACGAGTGTAGTGCCCCTCGTCCAGTGTCTCGCGACACTGGGCGTAGTGACCGTCCACCCATGCGAAAGGGGCAGGGACGAGGGTCCGCAGTTGGTGCAAAGACGCAACAACGGGATGGACCGTAAAAAAACGGACAGGATCAGTAGGTGCGGAGCACCCTACTGATCCAGCAACGTCAAGAGAATTTGTAGGCCTCTTGATGAAGGTTGCTCCCAACACACAGACGTTGTGCGTTGCTGCTCTAGGTAATGAGATCTCACTCATTACCTTGAAACTCGAAGTGACGAATAAGTTGTCCCTTCGAGCTCTAGTCGATTGTGGGGCGTCCAACAATTTTGTGCGACGCCAATCGCTAGAAGATGGTCACTTTAAATTCAGTGAATGTGACACACCTCCTACGAGGATGACGGTACGTCTTGCGACAGGCGCATCCGTAACCGTCATGAAGCGTATAGTGAAGATCCACTATACGCTAGAAGATACCCAATATGACGATGACTTTATCGTATTGGATTTGGATGACAAATTTGATGTCATCCTTGGAATACCATGGCTCAGAAGGTACGAACCACGGGTAAACTGGCAACATCGGACAGTAACGATGCCTGCCGCTTGCTCATCAGATGGCCATCTGATGAACGTTTTGGAGCGTCCACAAGCGTGTGGATGTACTACGAGTGAGTGCGATGGCCTCACTTGTGGTACGGTCGTTAGTACGACTGCACAAAACCTTAGTGTACCAAACGGTTACACTTCGGAGCAAAGTTCCGGCGGCTGTGAGGAAACACAGGCTGCGCCGAAGGTCCACCACTCGAATAAGTCGGGTGGACTGGGACAAAGATGTATCCCTAGAGGGGAACATCTAGAAGAGAAACAATCGATCGCTCAGGTTAAGCGAAACGATAATCCTAGATCGACTGGAGAGTCTTTCGTAGAGGATCTCGCTGTGGTTGCGCAACCCCAGCTAGAGGAGGTAAAGAGAATAAGTCCCCGGGAAGACGAAGGAATAAGTCCTTCGAAGCCTGAGGGAATAAGTCCCCAGGAAATGACAGAGACATTGAATGTCATAGTCAATAACGGATTAAGTGTAGGCGCTTATACACTTGATCTGATTGCGCCTACGAAGTTAACTTCGGAGATCACTCAGTTGCCAACGCTCGAACATAAAGGTTCTTGCGTGATCTGCGTAGTGGCAAAGTCAAGCAGATCTGCGTACTCGTCGCTGACGACGAGTGTGTAACCGACATAAGGTCAGCAACAGTGTTTACTGAGAACGAGAGAGTTCTCAGTAGTTCATCTATGGACGAGAGTGTCCTAGATGAAAAGACACGAATTGAGCGATATGACTCCCAATCATGGGAATCGCTCAAGAAAAATCCTCTCTATGAAGATTTGGTTGAATTCAAGGATGTATTCCCTGAAACTGTTCCGTGCGAATTACCGAAGGATAAAGGTATTCGACACGAAGTCGAGCTTAAACCAGGCTCGAAGTACTGTGTCATGAAGCAGTGGCCACTGCCTCGTGAACAAGTACTTGCGATCGACAAGTTCTTTGCCGATCGTTTAGCAGCGGGCCATGTGAGGGAATCAACTTCCCCACATAGCTCTCCGACCTTCTGTGTGCGAAAAGCAACAGGAGGGTGGCGGATAGTGCACGCGTTCAACAAATTGAACGCTGCAACGGTACCGGCTCAGACGCCGATACCGAGGAAGGACGTAATCATTGATGTTATGTCAAAGAGTACCATCTTTTCGTCCATGGATTTGATGGATGGCTTCTATCAAATCCTTATGCGGGAACGGGATATACCCTATACCGCAGTTAGCACACCTAGCGGCATGCTCTGGGAATGGCTAGTAATGCCACAAGGGCTCAGTAATGCCCCTGCCACGTTCAACAGATGTGATACACATCTGTTGAGACCAGTACGAGAATTCGCGCCGAGTTATTTCGATGACGTATTCATCCATAGTCGGGCTATGGATGGAAAGTCGGATGTTGAGGTTCACAGGTACCACGTCCGACAAGTTCTTACAATCATGCGAAAGCATCAATTGTATGCTAACCTCAAGAAGTGTATATTTGCAGCAAGCGAAATACCACTTCTTGGGTGCATCGTTGGTAAGAACGGTGTACGTCCTGATCCCAAAAGATCAAGGCGATCACCGACTGGCCTGTGCCGGTCGATGTCAAAGGTCTTCGAAAATTCCTTGGGCTAGCGGCGTATTTGCATAAGTATTCACGCAATTACGCCGAGATGACTGTGCACCTCTCTCGTTTGTTGAAAAAGAACGAGAGGTGGTTATGGAACGCTGAATGTCAGCGCTCCTTTGATGGTATCAAGCAGAGCTTGATACAATCCTCAGTCCTAGCAATAGCCGATCAAGACAGGCCATTTCAGGTGGTCTGTGATGCCAGCGATTTCGCAATCGGCTGTGCATAAATGCAGTACGATCTTGAAGGCGTTGAACGCGTCGTCTGCTATCAGTCGCGTCAGCTGCAACCAGCTGAGCGGAACTATCCAGTGCATGACAAGGAACGCCTTGCCATGAAGTGTGCACTCGCGAAGTTCAGAGTCTATGTATTAGGAGATAGACCCTTCGTTGTTTACACTGACCATGCGTCATTGCGCACTGCTGTAAACAGCCCGCACCTTTCACAACAAATGGCGCGGTGGTTGTCATTCTTCGCGGAATACAACTTTACGGTAGAGTACAAACCAGGACGACTTAATGTCGTTGCTGATGCACTCTCACGTCGTTCCGACTTTGAAACAGTCGCGAAACCCAACAGTGAGACAGTCACTGTTGCGGTTATGACGTCCTCAGTCCCTTCTACAACGTTGTATGATGATGTGAGGCGGGCATACGCCCAAGATGGTGAGATAGTGAAGTTGTTGTCACATCTCTCCCAACCATCTCGAGAATCGTTGAAACGATTGTCGTCTGCGTATCGATCTGCATCAGATCGATACACTACTCGTAACGGTTTACTGTACTATACAGCCGTTTCTGGTGACACACCACGTGTTGTCATTCCAGATGATACTGATCTGCGTTTGCGGATCATGTTAGAGTATCACGATGCTCCTATAGGAGGACATCGTGGCCGAGAGAAAACATATCTCACGGTAAGTCGAGACTTTTTACTGGCCCCGCCAGTATCAGTTTGTGCGAAAGTATGTTCGCGCATGCGAAGTCTGCCAACGAGTGAAGTCAAGTCCTTCACTGCGTGCACCTTTACAGCCTCTACCGGTTCCGGCTGAGTGCTGGGAATCCATCTCAATGGATTTCGTCTTCAGGTTACCCAAAGACGCACGCGGGAATACGGGTATTCTCGTATTTGTTGACAGATTCAGCAAAATGGTACACCTTGTGGCTGTACCAGAGTCAATCACGGCAAGTGGCTGTGCTTGTGTCTTTATTGACACCATCTTCCGACTTCATGGGTTGCCCCGTGAACTCGTATCAGACAGAGATCCACGCTCCACTGCTGATTCCTGGGGTTCCGTGTTCAAATCACTCGGAACGCGCTTGAAGATGTCTACATCTGATCATCCAGAGTCAGATGGTCAGACGGAACGTGCCAATCGTGTCCTTGAAGAGATCCTTCGAGGATACGTACACTCCTTTAAGAGTTGGAGTGAGTTTTTGCCAATGGTAGAGTTTGCCGTTAACAACTCGGTGCATGCGTCCACGACACATACACCGTTTTACGTGAATGGCTTGCGCCATCCGCGTGTACCCACCTTACTAGAGTGTAACTCTGGTTTAAGGGGGAGGGACTCGCGCGAGCAAAAAACCGATTTGGTTCACGCTCATCACGCTCTGACGAAGAAGTCATTGCGTTCGATGCCTATATCGATAACATCGATATCGAAGAAGATGATACCAGTGAGAGTGCGGAAGCCCTCACTGAATACAACGATCCCAGCGAGAGTGCGGAAGCCCTCACTGAAGAAAAGGTTGTTGTTGCTGCAGTGCGCTCACAGCACACTGAAGCTAACGAGTCATCAGATGAGTTCATACTGGCTCGTGAAACGGTAGTCCGTTTTGTGCAAGACTCCATCGCCGAAGCGGTGGATAAGCAAAAGCAAAACGCTGACAAGAATGGAAGGGCAAACACTCTTTTATTTAATAAAGGTGACTTAGTCCTACTGTCTACGGTTAATCTACCAAAGCATGTAGTGACTAACTTGGGTAGCAGTAAACTACTACCCAAGTACATTGGCCCATTTCGTGTATTGCACCGCCTAGGCAATGCATACACGATCGAGTTACCACGTAAGATGCGAACGCATCCCACGTTTTACGTTGGTCGGCTTAAGCCGTACCATCAGTACGCTGCTTCTTCCGATGAAGAACGCCCTTGCGCTCAAGCATCTCACAGAGAGCCTTGTGCTCCCGATGGTGGGCATCAACAAGGGTCTGAAGAGCAGTTATCTCAGCCCGAGACCGATCAACAATCCCACGAGCTACCCTTAGCTCGTCACGAAGAGATGTCAGAGATCTCTCGTTCTCAAGCTGAGCAAAGGCAAACTCAGCTCGATGCTTCGAGGCAGTGTCCGCCATTTGGAGACGCCTGTCCCGCTCATGTTCGAGATCGTCGCGTAACCCTTGCGTTACGCGATCAAAGAAGCTCTCGGGAACACACGGATCCACATGATCGTGTGGAGAGCGTCTTTCCTCCTCCTCCACCTCCATTAGAGGACTCTCGCGGTGGCCAGCGCTATCTAGTTGAGCAGCTGTTGAACCACCGCGACGTGAACGGACGTCGGACGAGTTATCTCGTCCGGTGGCGCGGCCTATCCTCCGTCCTGGGATTCTTGGGAGCCCCGCTCCCAACTGATGATCGACGTACTGGGTCTGGTTGAGCAGTACGACGCGGCACATCCTGTGCCGCAGAAGGACCGCCGGAGAAATTCTCTCCGGCACGGTCGTAAAGGGATTTCAGGTTGTCAATCCCTTCGTACATCTCAGTAGAGACACGTACGCGCCACCACGGGCTATTAGGGAGGTAAGCCTCCTTAGGTGCTCGTGCAGAGTTGTTCACACAACATGGGCACGAGTCTCCTCAAGAGAGGCAGGGTAATCCTTTCTCCCTTGACAGACGATGCAGCTTGTAGCGTGCACCTGTCGGGGTTCGCTTTTCAAACTTATCACGAGCTTTGATAAGTTTGTCGTTCCAAATGTCACGACCTACATCCTCGAGGTTATGGATGTAGGCGTTCCACGCCTGAATTATTGAGGGACCATCACGTTTGTGATTCCCACTGTACCATCGATGTCTGAAGAAAGCATCGATGAAGAACTCATGTTCAGCGCGATAGTCTTTCGCGCTGGGGTCAAGGTGATGGATCCTTGACGAATCGAACAATCGTGTTCGATAACGATCACTCGTCGTCGCCGACAAGTGATCCATGACTGACTTTGGAGGCATCCATGTCTTCTTTTTCTGGAGCGAGACGCAACACACTGCGGTCCCGCTCTTCCTGCGACGTGCCGACAGAAGTACTGGCACCTCGCTGCGAAGTGGTGTCCATTGGAAAACTGACACCACTATTAGCGCCCGAGTCTCGCGACCTCGAGCGCCTTCGCTTCGGCGATGGTTCATCTGATTCGTCAGATGAACCAAAGATGCTGCGACGCAAAGCATCATCCATGCCACGCTTGGCAGGCGGCTTGGATTCAATTGCCGTCGATACGGATCCGTCATCCGTATCAGGAGAGTACGAGACACCGAGCTCGTACTCTGTGAAGACACGAGTGTCTTCATGACCAGCGCCTGCATCACCAGGTGATACAGGCTGAGTCGATTCAGCAACCGATGGGACATCAGTTGCTGTAGTTTCTGCTTCGGCGTCCGCACAGAGACGTGCAGACGCGCTCTCGGCGGCCTTGCTCGCGCATCGCATGGGCTTGTTAACCATGCGATGAGATGTTGGAAAGTGGACACGGACCAACAAGTGCAAACCCTGTCCCAAATGATTTGGGACGAGTATCCATTTAGTCAATCAGTCACTAAAGTGACTGATGGTTAAGGGGTGGGGTGATGTGACGGGGTGAATCGTTACATAACAATTTATAAGAAATTGTTAATAGAGTATAACTATAAGAGTTATATTCTCAGAATATTGTCATAAGGACAAATATTCTGTAGCACGTAAGAATAGTTCCTAATTGGTTGATATAGGCCACTATATCAACCAACGAAGACGCGCCACGACAGACGCACGCAATGAGTGGTGAGCAGATAGTTGATATGCACATTTGTATTTAGACATAGTTAGATGAAGATAAATAGTGATTTATTGCAGACATTAACTATTATAAATACAGTTCTACTTTACTCTAACCAAGTACTCGCTTCTTCTTACCGTCTTCCTCTGCACGTACGAGTGTACGTGAAGTTACGAGGCACCGCCTTATTCTGTTATCAGAATAAGTAGCTTGTACTGTCACCAGTACAAGCTTCAGGGTGCCCCGTTACACGAAACCTTTGGTCAACTTTAACAAGTAGACCCAAGGTTTTACAAATTTAAAGTTCGTCCTAAATGTTTTATTTTGTTCCATCAAAACCGATCCTTCAAATGCTATTTCGATGTAATAATTTGCATTCGAATAGTCGTTGCCTCTGCCAAGTGTTGTTCGACAGGCGGTGTTCAAAGCCGCATCAAATTTCTTTTTGGACTTTCGCCATCATGGAATAATTACAGTTTCACCCAAAGCTACGGAATTTTGGCGATACGCGCTTAAATAATCATGGTAATTGATTACGAAATAAATGAGCCATTTTTGGCATTACAAATTGTGCTAGAAAAATTGACGATTCCTATCCCAAACGCATACCTCGGTAGTGATCAATGCTAAAAGATTTACTGTTACCGACTAGCCGCGCGGCACCAACACAACATCGAGTGTACATCGTACGGCCGCGCGACTCATATGTTAAAATGAGCATCAAAAGTTGCAATTTGCACGCAGTTTAACGCGGGAACCGTGGGCAAAGTATTACACTTTAATAATTAGGACTGCGCAATCAAAGACTTAGCTATCACATACCGATTGTTCTGTCTGGGAATATGCGAAGCGAATATTGACGTTGCTAAATGTAACTACGCAACCTTTTCTGGGTGCCACGAAGCTTCACGTACACTAGAACGTGCAGAGGAAGCTCGCATCTGCCTCTCAGCATCTTCCGCCGCACATTGTATGGAGTTGTTTACCTTTCATGGAATCCTTATTTGAATGGATCAGACCAGTACATGCCCTCTTTGTACCTGATGTGGCCTTACATTGACCACATTTACATAAAAGTTGAGTGACTGTTGTAACGGGGTGAATCGTTACATAACAATTTATACGAAATTGTTGATAGAATATAACTATAAGAGTTACATTCTCAGAATATTGTCATAAGGACAAATATTCTGTAGCACGTAAGAATAGTTCCTAATTGGTTGATTTAGGCCAGTATATCAACCAACGAAGACGCGCCACGACAGACGCACGCCATGAGTGGTGAGCAGATAACTGATTTACACATTTGTATTTAGACATAGTTAGATGAAGATAAATGGTGATTTATTGCAGACATTAACTATTATAAACACAGTTCTACTTTTTACTTTAACCAAGTACTCGCTTCTTCTTACCGTCTTCCTCTGCACGTACGAGTGTACGTGAAGTTACGAGGCACCGCCTTATTCTGTCATCAGAATAAGTAGCTTGTACTGTCACCAGTACAAGCTTCAGGGTGCCCCGTTACACCTGGTAGCACTTCGTAGTCCGTCCAAGGACCGCGTTCACATCCAACATGAATATGCTGGATGATGAAGATGACCAAAGCTTTCACGCTACGCGTGACGGCTACTCCCATTTGAGCGATGTCGAATGGGATGCGGTTGAACGAATGGGTTCGACCATGGGCATCCATGCTGTTAGCGTCATGCTAGAGGCTCTCAATAGAGATGCCCAACTTGCTACTATCGCCAAGTTCATTCAAAATGAACTTGACGCAGAGCGCGAGAAAGTAGCCTTGCTTCACCAACAAGGTTCCCAACAAGCGGAGTTGTTGAGAGAACAGGGTGCTCAACAGTTTGAACTGTTGAGACAGCAGCAGGCTGCTGCTGGTGGGTCGATGCACTCGCGTCGACCCGAGACTTTGAAGATTGACATCTCAAAGTATAGGGGGGTCGAAGAAGACTCCCTCTTGAGATGGTTCGTCGAATTGGATGACGCCATAAGGGCGCGTCGCATCGACGACGGGGATATGCAAGTTGCATTTGCCCAGTCAAATCTGGCAGGACGTGCCAATACTTGGGCACTGGGGCTCAAGCTGCACGACCCATATGCGTTTGGGTCGTTGGAAGTCTTCAAGTCGCGGCTCAGACAAACGTTTGAACCGCCTAGAGCTGAGTTCAGAGCTCGAACCGAACTCTTGAAGCTCAAGCAGGGTAAGCGTGATGTGCACGCTTACGCTCAACATATACGACATCTCACGAGTTGTATAAGTTCCAATCCGGTGGATGAACACACGTTGGTTTCGGTGTTCATGCAGGGTCTTGCGGATGGTCCCGTCAAGACTCACCTGTTCCGGCTTGAACTAGATTCACTAGAACAAGCCATTTCATTGCGGAACAGGAAGACTTCAGTCTGAGACAGGCTCGCGCCAGCTCGACATCATATCGTACACAGAGACGATATGACAGTGGAGGTCCAGAGCCGATGGAACTCTGTTATGTAGAGAGCGAGAAGGCTCGTTCTACCGACTACAAGAGGTTGCAGAAATGCAATAGATGTCAAAAGACAGGACACTACGCTTACGAGTGTAGTGCCCCTCGTCCAGTGTCTCGCGACACTGGGCGTAGTGACCGTCCACGCATGATTTAGGGGCAGGGACGAGGGTCCGCTGTTGGTGCAAAGACGCAACAACGGGATGGACCGTAAAAAAACCGACAGGATCAGTAGGTGCGGAGCACCCTACTGGTCCAGCAACGTCAAGAAATTTTGTAGGCCTCTTGATGAAGGTTGCTCTCAATACACAAACGTTGTGCGTTGCTGCTCTAGGTAATGAAGTCTCACTCATTACCTTGAAACTCGAAGTGACAAATAAGTTGTCCCTTCGAGCTCTAGTCGATTGTGGGGCGTCCAACAATTTTGTGCGACGCCAATCGCTAGAAGATGGTCATTTTAAGCTCAGTGAATGTGACACACCTCCTACGAGGATGACGGTACGTCTTGCGACAGGCGCATCCGTAACCGTCATGAAGCGTATAGTGAAGATCCACTATACGCTTGAAGATACCCAATATGACGATGACTTTATCGTATTGGATTTGGATGACAAATTTGATGTCATCCTTGGAATACCGTGGCTCAGAAGGTACGAACCACGAGTAAACTGGCAACATCGAACAGTAACGATGCCTGCCGCTTGTTCATCAGATGGCCATCTGATGAACGTTTTGGAGCGTCCACAAGCGTGTGGATGTACTACGAGTGAGTGCGATGGCCTCACTTGTGGTACGGTCGTTAGTACGACTGCACAAAACCTTAGTATACCAAACGGTTACACTTCGTAGCAAAGTTCCAGCGGCTGTGAGGAAACACAGGCTGCGCCGAAGGTCCACCATTCGAATAAGTCGAGTGGAGCGGGACAAAGATGTATCCCTAGCGGGGAACATCAAGAAGATAAACGATCGATCGCTCAGGTTAAGCGAAACGATAATCCTAGATCGACTGGAGAGTCTTTCGTAGAGGATCTCGCTGTGGTTGCGCAACCCCAGCTAGAGGAAGTAAAGGGAATAAGTCCCGATATTACAAATACGGTATACATAAGTTCCCCGAAATCCGAGGGAATAAGTCCCCGGGAAGACGAAGGAATAAGTCCTTCGAAGCCTGAGGGAATAAGTCCCCAGGAAATTACAGAGACATTGAATGTCATATTCAATAACGGATCAAGCGTAGGCGCTTATACACTTGATCTGATTGCGCCTACGAAGTTAACTTCGGAGATCACTCAGTTGCCAACGCTCGAACATAAAAGGTTCTTGCGTGATCTGCGTAGTGGCAAAGTCAAGCAGATCTGCGTACTCGTCGCTGACGACGAGTGTGTAACCGACATAAGGTCAGCAACAGTGTTCACTGAGAACGAGAGAGTTCTCAGTAGTTCATCTATGGACGAGAGTGTCCTAGATGAAAAGACACGAATTGAGCGATATGATTCCCAATCGTGGGAATCGCTCAAGAAAAATCCTCTCTATGAAGATTTGGTTGAATTCAAGGATGTATTCCCTGAAACTGTTCCGTGCGAATCACCGAAGGATAAGGGTATTCGACACGAAGTCGAGCTTAAACCAGGCTCGAAGTACTGTGTCATGAAGCAGTGTCCATTGCCTCGTGAACAAGTACTTGCGATCGACAAGTTCTTTGCCAATCGTTTAGCAGCGGGCCATGTGAGGGAATCAACTTCCCCACATAGCTCTCCGACCTTCTGTGTGCGAAAAGCAACAGGAGGGTGGCGGATAGTGCACGCGTTCAACAAATTGAACGCTGCAACGGTACCGGCTCAGACGCCGATACCGAGGAAGGACGTAATCATTGATGTTATGTCAAAGAGTACCATCTTTTCGTCCATGGATTTGATGGATGGCTTCTATCAAATCCTTATGCGGGAACGGGATATACCCTATACCGCAGTTAGCACGCCTAGCGGCATGCTCTGGGAATGGCTAGTAATGCCACAAGGGCTCAGTAATGCCCCTGCCACGTTCAACAGATGTGATACACATCTGTTGAGACCAGTACGAGAATTCGCGCCGAGTTATTTCGATGACGTATTCATCCATAGTCGGGCTATGGATGGAAAGTCGGATGTTGAGGTTCACAGGTACCACGTCCGACAAGTTCTTACAATCATGCGAAAGCATCAATTGTATGCTAACCTCAAGAAGTGTATATTTGCAGCAAGCGAAATACCACTTCTTGGGTGCATCGTTGGTAAGAACGGTGTACGTCCTGATCCCAAAAAGATCAAGGCGATCACCGACTGGCCTGTGCCGGTCGATGTCAAAGGTCCTCGAAAATTCCTTGGGCTAGCGGCGTATTTGCATAAGTATTCACGCAATTACGCCGAGATGACTGTGCACCTCTCTCGTTTGTTGAAAAAGAACGAGAGGTGGTTATGGAACGCTGAATGTCAGCGCTCCTTTGATGGTATCAAGCAGAGCTTGATACAATCCTCAGTCCTAGCAATAGCCGATCAAGACAGGCCATTTCAGGTGGTCTGTGATGCCAGCGATTTCGCAATCGGCTGTGCATAAATGCAGTACGATCTTGAAGGCGTTGAACGCGTCGTCTGCTATCAGTCGCGTCAGCTGCAACCAGCTGAGCGGAACTATCCAGTGCATGACAAGGAACGCCTTGCCATGAAGTGTGCACTCGCGAAGTTCAGAGTCTATGTATTAGGAGATAGACCCTTCGTTGTTTACACTGACCATGCGTCATTGCGCACTGCTGTAAACAGCCCGCACCTTTCACAACAAATGGCGCGGTGGTTGTCATTCTTCGCGGAATACAACTTTACGGTAGAGTACAAACCAGGACGACTTAATGTCGTTGCTGATGCACTCTCACGTCGTCCCGACTTTGAACCAGTCGTGAAACCCAACAGTGAGACAGTCACTGTTGCGGTTATGACGTCCTCAGTCCCATCTACAACGTTGTATGATGATGTGAGGCGGGCATACGCCCAAGATGGTGAGATTGTGAAGTTGTTGTCACATCTCTCCCAACCATCTCGAGAATCGTTGAAACTATTATCGTCTGCGTATCGATCTGCATCAGATCGATACACTACTCGCAACGGTTTACTGTATTATACAGCCAATTCTGGTGACACACCACGTGTTGTCATTCCAGATGATACTGATCTGCGTTTGCGGATCATGTTCGAGTATCACGATGATCCTATAGGAGGCCATTGTGGCCGGGAGAAAACATATCTCACGGTAAGTCGAGACTTTTACTGGCCCCGCCAGTATCAGTTTGTGCGAAAGTATGTTCGCGCATGCGAAATCTGTCAACGAGTAAAGTCAAGTCCTTCACTGCGTGCACCTTTACAGCCTCTACCGGTTCCGGCTGAGTGCTGGGAATCCATCTCGATGGATTTTGTCTTCGGGTTACCCAAAGACGCACGCGGGAATACGGGTATTCACGTATTTGTTGACAGATTCAGTAAAATGGTACACCTAGTGGCTGTAACAGAGTCAATCACGGCAAGTGGCTGTGCTTGTGTCTTTATTGACACCATCTTCCGACTTCATGGGTTGCCCCGTGAACTCGTATCAGACAGAGATCCACGCTCCACTGCTGATTCCTGGCGTTCCGTGTTCAAATCACTCGGAACGCGCTTGAAGATGTCAACATCTGATCATCCAGAGTCAGATGGTCAGACGGAACGTGCCAATCGTGTCCTTGAAGAGATACTTCGAGGATACGTACACTCCTTTAAGAGTTGGAGTGAGTTTTTGCCAATGGTAGAGTTTGCCGTTAACAACTCGGTGCATGCGTCCACGACACATACACCGTTTTACGTGAATGGCTTGCGCCATCCGCGTGTACCCACCTTACTAGAGTGTAACTCTGGTTTAAGGGGGGGAGGGACTCGCGCGAGCAAAAGACCGATTTGGTTCACGCTCATCACGCTCTGACGAAGAAGTCATTGCGTTTGATGCCGATATCGATAACATCGATATCGAAGAAGATGATGCCAGTGAGAGTGCGGAAGCCCTCACTGAAGAAAAGGTTGGTGTTACTGCAGTGCGCTCACAGCGCACTGAAGCTAACGAGTCATCAGGTGAGTTCATACTGGCTCGTGAAACGGTAGTCCGTTTTGTGCAAGATTCCATCGCCGAAGCGGTGGATAAGCAAAAGCAAAACGCTGACAAGAATGGAAGGGCAAACACTCTTTTATTTAATAAAGGTGACTTAGTCCTACTGTCTACGGTTAATCTACCAAAGCATGTAGTGACTAACTTGGGTAGCAGTAAACTACTACCCAAGTACATCGGCCCATTTCGTGTATTGCACCGCCTAGGCAATGCATACACGATCGAGTTACCACGTAAGATGCGAACGCATCCCACGTTTTACGTTGGTCGGCTTAAGCCGTACCATCAGTACGCTGCTTCTTCCGATGAAGAACTCCCTTGCGCTCAAGCATCTCACAGAGAGCCTTGTGCTCCCGATGGTGGGCATCGACAAGGGTCTGAAGAGCAGTTATCTCAGCCCGAGACCGATCAACATTCCCACGAGCTACCCTTAGCTCGTCACGAAGAGACGTCAGAGCTCTCTTGTTCTCAAGCTGAGCAAAGGCAAACTCAGCTCGATGCTTCAAGACAGTGTCCGTCAGTTGGAGACGCCTGTCCCGCTCATGTTCGAGATCGTTGCGTAACCCTTGCGTTACGCGATCAAAGAAGCTCTCGGGAACACACGGATCCCCATGATCGTGTAGAGAGCGTCTTTCCACCTCCTCCACCTCCATTAGAGGACTCTCGCGGTGGCCAGCGCTATCTAGTTGAGCAGCTGTTGAACCACCGCGACGTGAACGGACGTCGGACGAGTTACCTCGTCCGGTGGCGCGGCTATCCCCCGTCC